CACTTCTGTAGCGGGAAAGCAATCCTGGTCACTGGAGGAGCTGATGATCTGATCTACTTGGATGTAAATCCAGCAGAACAGCTCTCTGCTTCTCCCAGAAGGAGAGACAAGATTAGAGTATGTTTTGTAATTAATCAATATTTGCTAAGCACCTTCTTCAGGGTTCCCACAGGGTATTGCTGGACTAAACCCGACGCCAAGCAGGACTATAGTGCAGTGCTGTCCCTGGTTGCACCCACTAACCTGTTGTCTGTAATGCCTTAAGAGCACAAAGACAACGTGGCAGCAGGACCAGAATTTGGGATTCAAAGCCCTGAAACATCCCATTGGTGCTGGTGAAATGACTGAACAAGCAGGGCTTCGATTTTTCTGAGCACCTTGTAGCTCTGCGTGCCTGAGCAGTGTTCTCAGCACAGAGGGCTTGCTGCCCTGCTGGCAGATGTGAAAGTGGCTTCCCGCAGCAGCGCGGGAGGGGATTTTGGTCCCTGCTGCTGAAGGGAGTGTTACAGACACTGATCTCTTCGCATACGAGTGCAAACCGCCCCCACTGTGGGAGCACAGCCTGGTCATGACATCCCGGTGAGATGCAAATAACTCCAATGCATACAATGACCCAGCTCTGCAAACACTTAGGACTGTACTTGCGTGTACAACCCGAATGCGTGACCACATCTTTAGGTTGCTGTGCTATCACAGGAGAGCCCAGACTCATTAAACTCACTAAACTCTCATTCAGCTTCTGCTTTAAGCTGGCATTTGGTCCCTCTTGCCAATCCATCTACCAGCCATGGCCCTATAGCACACTCAGAGATGAGGGAAGAAACCTTCTAGTATTGGCAATCCAAGCAAGGCACAGCAAAAAGCTGCTAAAACAAAGCAAGTATCCCAATCACGTTAACTCTGACCTGCAGCAATGCCCTGAGTGAAGATGCTGGTCAGATTATCTCAGCTGTCCCTACCTGCCTTGCTCTGCCAGCGGCTGGGAGAGCTGGCGTGTGTGGCGAGGGGTCCTGCTGCCTGGGGGGAAACGTGGCTCTGCAATCCCACAGAGCCACCAAGCGTCTTTAGAGGCCACATCCAGGAGTTGGGTGTGGGGGTCTTGGTCCCTTTTATGCTGTGGAGTCTTCCAGAGAAAAGGAGAGAAGTGAAGCACAGTAGGGTCATGTATACATGAGATGGAGCAGCAATGTAAGACCCCAGAAAGCAGAGCTGGGCACCTGCTGAGATGGAGCTTGCTCAGGAGTCAGTTAGGAGAAGGAAGAGTTTCCACATGGCCCCTTGGGGCAAGAGCCCAAGTTTACAGTGGCTTATTCGTCCTCTAGTCATGCTGTGTCTCTGCTGGCCATAAGGGCTATGTCTACATTACCAGGTCGTGGGGACCAACAGAAGAGGGTCTGCAGAGTGAAGCAGTTGGTGGGCACCATCCACATTTGCCATATTACACAGTACGTGTCCCCACAGGGTTACAGGGCTTCTGTCCTGCTTGCAGTGGGTTTAAGACACTTGCACACCTTATCCCATTAGATTGCCAATAAAAGGTTGAATCATAGAATTGTAGAGAGCAGGAATTATTTGGGGAAAAGAAGATCTCTGGAGGATTGATGCCAGCACGGAGATGGCAAGGGGAGACCAGAAGGAAGGCAATGGAGGGCTGGTGTGGTGAAGGAACCCCTGGGGTCAGAGATCTGAGGTCTAAAGTTCTCACCTTCTCCTGAGGTGAAGTCATGGCTGCTGTTTTAACTGCCCTGATGCCTTCCCCCTCCTGTTCGCGCAGAGCAGATGCCAGTGCAGGTCATGCCTGATGGAAGGGAAGGTGCTGAGGGCACCATGGTGCTCCCCAGATGTCAGGGGAAGAGCTGCCATGTCAGACCCTGAAAACCCAGAGTGCTGCAGCCAGAGGATGAGGTGGTCACTGCAGGTCTCAAGTAAGCACAGCAGACCATAATGGCTCTTTCTGCTGCCTTTCCCCACAGACAGCTGTGTTTTTTCATCTCACGCCTACTCATTTAGCTTAAGCTTGCAAGTGAGTGCTGGCTCCCAAGAAAATTTAAGTGGGTTTTATTTTTTAACAAGGCTGGTTTATGTTTTTTTTGACTTATTTACCTAATTGCTGCTTGTTGCAAATTAGCTTCCAGAATGTCACTGTGTCAGGAGCTGTACAAATACAACTGAGGGACACTGCTGGCTATAAAGTACAGCAGAGACAGGGAGAGAAGGGACATCCTTAGGCGGATCATGACACCAGTGGCAGAGCGAGGACCAGGCATTGAGTCTCACTTAAAACCACCTCCTAGCAGTGAAATACAGGACACCAAAGCAATCCTGTGGGACTGGCCACATTGGTCTGAGCCACTGATCCATCCAGTCTCCATCTCTTCTCTGAAAACAGTCATGATTTTAGGCAGTCCATGGTCAATCAAGTTATCCTACTCATGGGGAACTGCTTCTTGGTCCCCACCAAGAGCAACCTGCACTGTACCCTCACAATCCTCCTTCAGGAACAGCTCCCTGTCTCTGGGGTGGTCCCCACTTGCTGTGGTTCTGTTCCAGCTGGAATTTCTCATTTCTAGGCAGGCAGGGAGGAAACAGCAGAGAAATGCAAGTGCGAGAGCATTTTCCCCTGCTGAGCAGCCTGCCAGCACAGAGAAATCCTCCAGCTCTGTAATCACTGATTTTACAATTGGAGAAATAAAGAGGTGGCTTGGCTCACCTGAGAAAACTCAGCAAGCCTGGCCATACAGACCTGCCCGTGGTGGGGGAAAAACCCAAATCAAATCCCAAATGATGCCCACCTCCTTCTCCCTGCCCTGGCTGAGGACAATGAAAGAGTTAAAGAAGATGAGACAGACAAACAGCTCAGGGGGGAGGGAGGATCCCAACCTGAGCTTGGCACCAGATGTACTGGAGCGCGTGCACCAAACATACACAATATTTAATAATTCCTGAGAATTGCCATGGTAATGAAGCGCAGAGTCAGGTTGTTATGGTAACAGCCTTTTTTTTCTTTTAGGCAGAGAGGCATTACCCAGGTTGTAACCTCAATCCAGACTGAACACGTTTCTGAGAGCCCAAAAAATAAAAAAGAAGTCAAATAAAATCAAATTAGGTAAGTAGCAGTTTCCTGTCTCTCGTCTGGCAGCTCTGGGTTTGTTCTGTAGGTAGGTGGTGGGAGCCAGGTTGTTCCAGACACACATTGCCCTGAAAAGCCTGGGGAATGGCTGGAGTGGATCACTGCAGGTCTGAAGCCGAGCGCTGATGGGGGTGAGGGGCTGGACCCTTCTCATGGGTTGGTCAGGGATGCTCTGCCACCACCTGGTTGCCCTGCCAGATGTGTGGGGTGTCCCCAGCTGGCTAACAGGAAGGACACATGCGTCTCTTCAAGTGTATACGTGCAAGAGAGCAGTCATGGACAAGCCCTCATCCCAGCCACAGAAGCATGCTGCGATCCCAGTTCACCGCCTGCCTCTGGTTACCTGCATCCCAAGTGATGGAGGTCCCAGAGCTGGTCTCCAAGGTGAGGCAGTTTGGGAGCTGGAAAGGAGGTGTCAGACCACTTTTCCTAAAGACAAATTGCAGACCTGAGAAGAAAGCATGGATTTCCTGAGCTCTAGGAAACTCTCCCAGCTGCTGTGCTCCCATCAAGCAAGAATGGAAATCTCCTGTGTCCCCTCCAGCCCTCCCATTAATGGCCAAAAGCCACTTCCATCTCCCCTCCCAAGCCATTCCCTATCAGGTTTGTCCAGCTGATCCTCATATTCACTTTTAATTTAGTGCTGGTTAAATCAGCAGCGTTGTGAGCCCATTTTCTATTAAGGAAGCTGAGGCAGTGCATGTAGGGGTTCACTTAGCAGAGAAATGGCTTGAAATACGCAGTGCAATTACTTAGGAACATAGCTCCATAAATCCCTACTGCAGCTCAGTGTAGTTCTCTTGTATGGGCTGTGTGAGAGCCATTTGCCTCCAGACAAAGCCTCTGTAGTCCATTAGCTCTGCCAGAGAGGGACCAGTTGATGCCACGAGAGTCAGGTACTTAAGGGAGAAATGAAG